TTGTATAATGGTATTAATACTTCCCTATCTTTACTGGAAATACCTTGCCTGATGCATCCTAGCACCGCATTAGCCTTTTTCACAGCTGCATCACATTGGTGGCTCATAAGCATCCTGTGATCAACCCATATACCCAGGTCTTTCTCCTCCTATGTCACGTAAATCCCCAGCGTACACCAAAAATTCTTGTTGTTAGTCCCTAAGTGCGTGACTTTGCACTTCTAAATTTCATCCTATTTCTATTACTCCAGTTTTCAAGGTCCTCCAGATCTTCTTGTATGATATTGCAGTCCTCCTCTGTATTGGCTATACCTCCCAATTTTGTGTCATCCTCAAATTTTATTAGCAGAGTCGTACTTTTTATGCCAAGGTCACTAATGAGAATGTTAAATGAGATTGTTCCCAAGAAAGATCCCTGAGGAATTCCACTAGTAATCTCTCTCCAGCCTAACAGTTCACCTTTCAGTATGATCAGATGTAGTCTCCCCTTTAACCAGTTCCTTATCCACTTTTCAGTTCTCATATTAATCCCCATCTTCTCCAATTTAGCTAATAATTTCCCATGTGGAACTGTATGAAATGCCTCACTGAAATCCAGATAGATGAGATCTACTGCATTTCCTTCTTCTAAAAAAATCCGATATCTTCTCCAAGAAGGAGAGATTAGGTCTGGCACAATCTACCTTTTATAAAACCATGTTGTTTTTTACCCATAATTACTGTTTACCTTTATATCCTTAACTACTTTCTTTTTCAAAATTTGTTCCAAGACCTTGCATACAATTGAGGTCAAACTAACCAGCCTGTAGTTTTGTGGATCACCCTTTTGCCCTTTCTTAAAAGTAGGAGCTGTATTGGCAATTCTCCAGTCGTAGGGTATGACCCCTGCAAGTTTATAGATTTATTAAAGCTCCTTGCTATTAAGCTTGCAATTTCATGTGCCAGTTCCTTTAATATTCTTGGACGGAGATGATCTGGGCCCCCTGTTTTAGTCCCATTAAGCTGTTTGAGTATGACTTCCACCACTGATGTGTTAATTTCTACTTCCATATCCTCGTTTCACTTAGCCACCCTGGTATCATCCCATATTGAGCCATGCCTAGATTCTCTTTAATCTTCACCCCATCCTCTGTGTTTAGCGGTCTCCTGAGTCTCATTCCAGTGCCTTAATCATAAGATCATTTTCCCGCACTTGAGTGGAGTTAACGCCTGTTTTAACCTGAGAACATGGCATTAGAACCAGGCTCAATATGTGAGGGTTGAGGGGCAGTTAATAGATTAAGGAGAACAGCAAGTAAATCCATAAAAACCAGACACGTCTTTTCTATTCAAGCTGGCTAATGACTTTGTTACCCTTATACCCAAATTCTCTCATTAGTCCACTCATGGTGTAATCAGCACCTAATGTTAATTGAGCTCAAATACACATTGGGCCACCTTTTACCTTTAGGAGGAAAATCATGTCTCATTGCCTTTATTTCAGCTACCTTGGAGGGAGCCCTCGCAGTGGAACCAGGGGGGTTCTACCGTGGAGGAATGTAGGCAGGATTCTGGGGGCCCATACTGGTGGGCCTCATTCTATGTGGTAAAGATTCCCTGGTGTTCACTACTATGGTGGAGGCTGAGGGAAGAGCACTGCTTCAGCCATCTAATGCTTCCTCAATTAGCTCTGCTTCACCACCAGCATATCTGGGCAGTGTCCAGCTCAGCTACTCAGGCTGGACATTGATATGGGATTACATGGCTGTATCTGAGGGCGAAATAGGGTCCACTGTTCTGAGCTGTCCTGTATTTCTGTGTTGGTTTTCCTTCTGTTCATTGACGCTAGACACCCATTCTTCCAGGCTTCTTTTGACTGCTTGACTTCTGTTTGCATTCCCCCCTTTTAATTGGATTGTTATGGACTCTATTTTAATTTCTTACTATTTACTTATCTCTCCACCAGACACCCTACCATATATCTATATCCCTATGTTCAGTACAGGCACCATAGCTCCTTTTCATATCCTGTCATAAACATACAGCTAAGGGTAGCATAAAATCCCTCCTTACCTTGTAAAGGGTTAATCCCTCCTCTACCTGTAAAGGGTTAAGAAGCTCAAATAACCTGGTTGGCACCTGACCAAAAGGACCAATAAGGGGAGAAGATACATTTAAATCTGTGGGGGAAGGTTTTTGTTTTGGGTTCCAGGAACCAGGGCAGGGAAAATACATCTCCCAAATCCATATCTGAACTAAGCATCTAATATTACAAAAATAGTAAGTAATAGTAAGAAAATGCTTTAAATTATCTTTTGTTTTAGCTTGTGAATTTTCCCTGTACTAAGCGGGAGGTTTATCCCTGTTTTTGTAACTTTAAAGTTTTGCCTAGAGGGAAAATCCTCTGTGTTTTAAATCTAATTACCCTGTAAATTACCTTCCATCCTGATTTTATAAAGGTGCTTCTTTTACTTTTTCTTTATAATAAAGTTCTGTTTTTTAAGAATCTAATTGGGTTTTTAGTGTCCGGTCTGTGCTCACCTTGGTCACTCTCAAGCCTCCCCGGTAAAAGGGCTTGGGGGAATATTTTGGGGAAACAGGAACTCCAAGTGGTTCTTTTCCTGAATCTTTGTCTAACTCACTTGGTGGTGGCACCAGTACTCATCCAAGGACGAGGAAGGATTTGTGCCTTGGGGAAGTTTTTAACTTAAGCTGGTAGAAATAAGCTTAGGGGGTATTTCATGCGGGTCCCCACATCTGTGCTCCAAAGTTCAGAGTGGGGCGGGAACCCTAATATATCCACACCTTTTCTCATCATATAAATATGTCTTCTCTCTCTTTCTTCATTAGCTCCTTTTTTTTTGTCTATCCAGGTTATACTTTAAAGCATTGCAGTCGAAGTCTCATTTTAATTCTTTCTCTTTTTAGCCTGCAACCTACTTAACTTTTATTTCCTGGAGTGTTTACATTTTTGTCAGTTATACAGTGCTGTACCACTGAGCAATGAGTGGGTATGTAGATTTGTAGTAAAAGCGTTGCATTGACAGGTGTACTCTGTTTAGTACAATATTTCAGGAATAGGAACTACTTGTGAGGGACAAAAGTAGCTCTTTCTCTTCCTTCACCTGTATGCAGCTGTATAAAGGATAGACCAAATTTTAGAGACTTTGCAAAGTACAGAGAAATGATACTGCAACTAGAGCTGCTCCATATCCTAAAGAGGGGGCATGGCTGGGTGGTGTGGGGCAGGAGTGTAATAAGAACCTTGATTTTCTTCTCTCCCTCCCCGTATGCCACATGGGAGCCATCCCATTTTATATCAATTAAGATTTATTTTTAGCACCAATCCAGAGCCTGTTACAGGGATTTTTAGAGCTGTTTTCTTTGACAAGCATAATACCATTAGTGTTTTTGGAGAGAAAAATGCCCAGTAAATTATGTTGCATGCAGATGGCTATTTTATTTGTTGACATTGTAATATGAATCCAAGTAATCTGACTGTGTAGGTAGAGCATTAACTCAGTGAGGGCTTATGTTCTCTCTGAGATATTTTCTTCACTAATGCGCATCCTGGACACGTAGGGATTCTAAATACTTTGCAACCTGCTTGAGTGCCTAGATAGAAGAGTTTGAGACCACTAAGATAAGTGAGTATTAAGGCTTTTGGTGAACAAAGTTCATATTAACTTGTTAAGTGGAGCACAACTGCAGATTTCCACATGGAAAAGGATAACATGGTGTAGATAAAAAGTATTCGGGGAATAATAAAAAGTCTAGGATTAAAATTGCTAAACCCTTTGTGTACAATAAACTTGGAGGCTTCAGTAACCTAAAACTGTATCATTATGTCTGTGCAATGATTCAAATGTTCAAACTATGAGGAGCAACTGACTCAGCCAAAGAAATGGAAAGAACATAAGAGGAAATCTGTGATCATCATCTATCTTTTAGGGAACTAACACTATGTAACAAGCATAGTAGGAAGCTTAAATTACCCAAGAGAAATCAAGGATCTGGTTACACAGAAGAGAAATCCTAACTACTTTTTTATGTACACTGTGGGTCTGATCATGCCAACATGCAGCTGAGGGGCAATGATCCAGCCCCCTGTTAACTTCTTACCTTGAATATGGAATAATAATCCTGATAAAATTTGAACTATACTACCTCATCCTCCTTCACATCCCTCTTTAAGACTCTCCTTAGCCATGAGGTCTGCAGAACCCAATCTGTTGATTGTGGCTAAACAGACCAGCTATTCCACTTGCCCTTCTTTCCTTCTCCTACCCCAAATCTAAAGACACAAAAAATAAGTACAATATACGTAACTAACTTAACAGTGCCAATTCTTTACCAGGTTCGTTGTTCGTCATGTTGTAGCTCCATGTCCTACCCTTTGTCTGTGTCTTTAGACTGTAAGCCCTTAAGGGTAAGGATTGTCTCTTTTCTGTGTTTGTACGGCATCCAGCACAACAGGACCTCAAAACTGATCAGGAGCTTTGAACACTACCCTAATATAAATATTTACTATAACTACTACCTCTGTGTCATGTTAAATAGAGGCTGCTGTTATTAATTAATTTCTCTACTTTGCAGTATGGAATTGGGGGTGCAAATGTTATGAAATGGCACCTGGGCTGCACATCCTGTTTTAAGGCTGGGGGTTTCAACTGCTCACGAGCTACTGCTTCTCTTGTTCTGCTACCTTGAGCCACTGAATCCTTCTTTTCACTCTCCCATCCAGCCTCTATTTTCATTGCATTTTTTACAGAAGTGCAAAGTTAGCTGAAAAGTAGAAATAGCCTTGACAGCCGGAGGGTTCTGTCCCCTGTTCTCTTAGAATTCAGTGAGGATTTTGCCATTGATTTCAATGGAAAGAAGCATCTGCCCGTTATGTTTTAATATTTCATTCTTCCTTGAACTTATTGTGTTTTGAAATATTCTGCCAAATCACCTTAATAAGGATTATGTTGTCAGATCCTATTTCCTACTAACACACAACTTTTTTTTCCCTATCCCAGGAGAGAATGCAGACAGTAAATTGGAATCCTCCAGGCAACAGATGTCAAAGAACCAGTCAGAACATTATGAGATAATAATTCCCTACATTTTGAATGGAGAACAATGGAAACCAATAAATAGCATTGATTCAAAGGTTAGTTTTCATTTTGCTAACTATAGTAGTACAACACTATGCAACAACTGAAAGACTTTACATGAAAACAAATGACTATACTTCACCACTAAAATGTCTGCCAGCTAGACATGATTATTTGCCTAATTTGAATGAAATCTTTAAAAAAAAAAAGTGAGATCTTTGAGTGGTTAAAATGAACACTTGCCTCAGTTCAAAGTGACGTTTTATTTTTGATAACAAAAAGTTAAATTTCAAGAAACATAACTACAGTATTCTGAGAGAGGTTAACATTAATTGCTTGAAATCTATTGACAAGTTTTGACAAACATTTGTGGGTTTTTTGTTCTTCAGATAGGAATCTGGGAAAGAAAGCACAGGGATGACTTTGTAAGGGAAGGAGTTTGAAAGGTCACTTAGAGAAATGGAAGATTTTAGGAAGGTTAGGGAAGATATTTTTGTAAAAGACAAGACTGGGCTTAGTAAAAAGTCAGTGTATGCAACTGACTATATTCTACTTTTATGCACCCGCTCCCTCACAAATCCTGGGACCATTTACCCCGGAGTAATTTAGAACATATATGTAGGTTCTCTGTGACAAAGACCAGGGGGTAGCCGTGTTAGTCTGTATCTACAAAAACAACAAGGAGTCTGGTGGCACCTTAAAGA